CTCCTTAATAGTAGTTTTTTCTCATATTCTCTAATATTCAGTAACCTCATTATATCTTAGTCGCTTTATTGCCTTGCTTGGGGTGAAATTAAAAAAAATCACACCTAAGAGTACTTAACCAGCCCAGGCATTAAACTCACAAATTACTCTGCCATCAAATTCATGAACCAAACATTTAAATCACTAAATTATTGTTATTATTATATTTTATAATTATAATTATTCTTTTTAAATTTGTTTGATTTTTATTTACTGCTAAAACCAGTTATTTACATAATAAAATTTTTGTAGTTCTTGTTAAAATTTCTGTTATGTATTCCAAATATATAGAATTTTTAGATTGCTATGTTCTTTGATTTGTTTTTTACCACTATTTAAATTTTGAATTATATCTTGAATCGCAAATTTAAACTAATCTTTAATGTAGTTAACACTATGTATCTAAAACAGTTATTCTAGACTCGTTCAGAAAGCGTGTTGAAAAGTAGAGCTGATACTACACTCTGATCTCAAATAACACTTGTGCATACAAACAGTATATTATAAGCCTACCTGAACATCAAGCAATGTGGTTGTATTCAAAGCACTGATGTATGCAGCCACTTGAAGGGGATTATCATACGTATTTGCAATTAAGGGTTTCTGCTTTAATGAGGTTTTCCAGTCAATAAGGCAAAGGACATCACTGCAGAGAAAAAGAAAAACATTTTGTTTTAAGTTCATGCTAACCAAATTATTTATACCAATAAACAATTCCATTGTTTATACAAAGAAGATTTCTTTTTAAAAAATTAAAATAAATGTCTCATGTTTAAGTGCAATCACATGACCATGAAAATTGCGCTTAAGCATGAAACAGACTGACACCTCTGGGTGTTGATTTCAATGTCCACTTTTATATTTATATAGACTATCCCTGATATTGAGCATTTTAACCCCTAAGTATAACATACGCTAAAATTATATTTTTATCACCTACATATATATATATATATATATATATATATATATATATAGATAGAGAGAGAGAGAGAGAGAGAGAGAGAGAGTGTGTGTGTGAGAGGATGCGATGGGTAAATTGTCAGCATTTGATATTTCATGCAGGCACATTGTTTGTGATTTCGTCAACTACACAATATAGTAAGGGCAGTTGGGCACCATCTATGAGAAAAAAACAAGCACCATGATGCAATTCCCTCTGGCAGAAACTTGGAAACGGTATGCTGTACTGAGTACAGTGCAGAGCATTTGGGAAGAGTTGGACGAGTCTAATGGTGATTACGAAGGTGTTTGGAGTGATCACTAGGGATGGCGATGTTACGCCTCCATTCATCTTCACCACAGGGCCTCAGACTCAACACAGAGGCCAACATCAAGTGCCTTAAGGAGGTAGTGCTGCCCTGGGTCAAGACAATAGCTGCTGGAAGACCCTATGTCTAGCAACAGGATTCTGCACCATGCTACACAAGCAGGAGAACCTACTCATGGCTGTCAGACAATTTCTGTGACCACATCACCCTTTACATCTGTCCAGCTAATTTCCTAAACTGTAATCCCTTTGATTATTATGTGTGAGGCACAGTTGAGCAAGAGACCAACAAAACTCCTTGTAATACCAAAGATGAACTGAAGGCAAGGATTACAGCAAAATTCACCATCTTAAACAAGGAAACTGTCCAGAATCGATGCAGGAGATGTCTAGAGGCCGTGATTGAAACAAATGGCGATATTATTGAATTAATTTACTCTCTAGTATTTCAAGACATTTTTGTGTAATTTTGATAAATATGTCTGTTAAAATGAGATGTCAGTGTTATTTTCATTTTTGCAAAATTCAAACAATAATTTATCCCTCGCACCATGTGTATGTGTGTGTATATATATATATATATAAATATATATATTTTTTCAAGGTATGAGGGTCAAGTAAATCAGTTCCTAGGAATCAACAGCCCAACACTAGCACATTATAATGGTGAAGACTTTGTGCAGATCCATCCTCACTTTTTGAAGGGCCGAATACAGAGACCTGGTGCACTACATGCCACAAGGTCCCCAAACGACCCTCCGCAGGTTTTGAATTTAGAGTTGTCCTTCTCCTAGACCAGTTGCCATCCAAGGCTATAGAACCCAGTCTGTCCTGCTATATAGCTGGAGGGAGAAGAGGATGACTACCTTTCCCAAGGGTATTAGTATGTAAGTTAATGTAATGGATTTGACTGGAATTCAAACTCGGCTCTCTGGTTCCTCAATCCAAGCCGCTATCCATTACTCCACCATGTCTCCATAATATATATATATATATATATATATATATATATATATATATATATATGGGGGTGGGATGAAAAGTTCATGGGATGCCAATGAAGGAGTAATGCTCAAGCTGTGAAATCTTGCATGCATTGATTTCAACTCTTCTTATTAATAGCTGCATTGTTTCTTTCCAGATAAAATGAGTGTACAAAGAAGACTGTTCATCCTGTTGGTCAAAAACAGATATGACATCATCATCACTGCAATACTAGTTCCCAGTTGGGGAAGAGATGATAGTCAAATCACAGTCACACACAACAGCCACTGAAACCAAGGCCTTGCATGCTGGAACATCTTTCCTGATGTAAGAAGACCCCTTCTCATCAGTTTTCCGGTGTATTTGATTTTCATAGCCTTTCATAACTGCTTCAGCAAGTTGGCATCATATTTTCCATTGACTGTGTGGCTCAATAAACACAATGTTTTTTAAATCTCAAAAGACTGAGGCCATCATCTTCCCTGCCGAAATGACATTGGCTTTCTTTGGTGCAGGTGAGGAGAGGTGTTTCCACTGCATGGATTGTGTCTTTGTCTCTGATTCAAAATGATAGACCTATTGGGGGAGAGCATCATCGCACGCATTCGTTGCAATCAAGATTGTCATTCCCATGTAGGCCTGTACAGCTATAATAAATGCTGCACCACCATCAGCAGCTGAGGCATAACTCTTTGAGCAGAGATCCAAGGTTTCTTGAAACTGACAGATGCCACATACAAACATATATACTAACATACTGACACATTTCAAAAAGTTAGAATGTTATGAAAGTTAATTTTTACAAATTTTCTTATATTCTAGGTTCATTGTATATAAAAAAAAATCTCAATCTTTTGTTTTAATTTTCATAACTATGACCTATAGCTCATGAAAAACAAAAATCCACAATGTCAAAATATTAGAATATTTCATAAGATTGCTGTGGTCACTAATTCAAGCTCAACTAAAAGCAGTGGCAACCTACATTTTCACGTGTTAATGACAAACAAATACAAAAACATTTCAATCTTTAAAATAACCTCAATGTCTTTTTCACAAAAATTACAATTTTTGGAAACAGTAACTGTGTCCATTGGGGGTCTGTGTGTGTGTATGAAAGTTCAATTGCCCAGGTGAAAGGTATTATCTCCAGTGAGGACAAGTACCACGTTGGTGTTGCCACCTATGGGATGCTAGGTTGAAAGGGAAAAAGAAAAAGACAGTGTCCGAGTTTTTATAGTCCTGAAACAGCACCACCTAACAGCATTTTGGCAGATTATCAACAATCAAAAAAAATGTTAGTAAACTTGGACCTTCATGCCCATGAAAAGATGAAGTGTCAAAAGGACTGTTTTTCCCTTGACACCACTATTATTTTAACTACCTTCACTCCTCGGCAGTGTTTATTGTTTTAAAAAGTGATGATTAGATTTGCAGTAAAATTTAAATATACAATGAAAGTGAATTTATACATTTCTTTTTGTTCTTGAGAATTTGGACAATAAAAAGAGAATAAAAGAACAGGAATTAAGGAGACAGAAGATAACAATTTTATATTTCTGAAGATCAAAGTTGACTGGAGCACAAGAAGCCAGAAGAGAATTCTACAAGGGAGAAGTAAGAGAGAAGAAACTGTTAGTATACAACTTACTATCTAACAATTTCACCTGTAAAATGATGAGACCTAGCTGCCAATCTAGTACTGCGCTTAAAAGTGGGAAACTCATCAGAACAATTACCATGGAGATATTTATAAAAAAGGGACAAGGTAAGCTATGTTACAGCAGTAAAAAAAGTGATGGATGGTGAAAAGCCAGGTTAGGATTGATAGCACTGCATATTCTTTGGATTTTGTCAAGAATCTCTAGATACACAGCAGGAACACCAGATGTGACAGCAATATTCAATGCATGGATGAATGGTAGACTTATAAATGTATAAGATAGATTCTGAAGAGAAAAATTGTCTAATGCAACATAGTGAACCAACTTTCCTAGCAGCAAACCTAGCACAATGCTTCAATATAATCTTTCCACTTCATGTCTGTGAAAAACATGGGACTAAGAAGATGAATCACACCTTACACTACAAACTGGTGACCATCAACAACTTTGTCCAGTATAAATTGTAGCACCTTTTGCTACATATGTATTTGAGGGTGTGCTCAAAACATTCTCAGCCAAATCCACACACCCCAAAATCTGACTAAATGATCAAACTTCAGAATGTTTTTCTAAATAGGTCCATGTTTGGGCTGAGAACCTTTCACCACTCTATCAAATGTAATTTTAGATGGTGTTACAGCAGATACACTCTTAAGCCTTGCACTTTTATTTAATTTCTGTGATTAATCATTATCGTTTGTCAACATTTCTTCTGAGCTTGTCACCACAACATATTTAATTCTTTAACTGAGATGTTATTCAAAAAATGATTTGATTCAGATACCCATTATCTATGGCTTATCAACCTTTTGAAGGTTATTTAAAGCCAGAAAATATTTTTAGATTGCAAGAATTTTTTTGAGATAATAATGATTTAGCAACAGAAGTCTTACTAATTAACCCATAACTGGGGGGGGGAGAAAAGGTGGATTCATACCTTTGCCAAGGGTATTTATGTGTAAGTGAATATAACGAACCCAACTGGAAATAAAACCTGACTCTGATTAAATATTCCGACCCATTACACTACCCACACATCCAAGCTTACAGCACCTGGTATTCCCAAGCAGTCACCCATCTAAGTACTGACCAGGCTCAACGCTGCTTAATTTTGGTGATTGTATGAGAACTGGTGGTTATGCAACAAAGATGAGAATTTTAGTCCAAATGACTTCTGGAATAAGAATTGATTTTTAATAAGTCTACACTTCAATTCCAATTTTGGTAGTTCATTAAAAATCATACAACCAATATTTTTGAGATTGTCATGACCAGTGTCAACTCTCAGTGAGATTCAAAATTTAAGACAAAAAAAAACAGAAGCCATGAAGATATTAATTTTTTTCCATCATAATTTCAGTCGCTTCTATTCACATCTCAGCCACGTGCAGGCAGGGCAGATACAATATAAAGAATATTTGTCTGTTTAGCGGCATATTAACTTCTTATGAGTCATTTAATGCCAAAATTTAATTTTCTTGAGAGCATTAGTAATTTCTTTTACAAAATGTATTGCAAGTAATTTTTTTTTAATTTTCATACTTTCATAGTGTTTTGACACCAGTGTGGGGGTTATTTGGGATCCTATATGGGTTAACATAATTGAGACCCTAACAGTCGCTACGACCCAGGGTCAGGGTGGACCTGGGAACAACAGCAATTAAGAGGTGGTTCCACACTACTCAAAACCTCCCAATCAGATATCATGCTGCCAGATGTAGTTTATTGTCATACCCAAAACATGATATAAAGGCTAAGCTTACAGCATGATTTGAACTCCTATCATGTTTCCCTGACCCTAACACATCAGCTGCTTTACCTATTTTGACTACAAAAGCAACAAGCTCAAATCTAACCATCTAACTACTAGTCTTTGCTTTCCAATCCATACTGCTTGCAAACAGCCAGAGAAATGTCTGAAAAGCTTCAATTAAAAGCAAGTAAAATCAAGATGAAATCAATAATTCATAATAGGAATGTCCCTATAATGTTGTTAATAAAAAAAAAACATCATCATATATTAAAAGCATCATGTCTTCAATTTCTGTCTGGGATTTACATTTATTAACATGCAGACTAAGGTCTACATCTTTGTTGTTGTTATCATCCAATCACCTTCTGTTTAAAAATCTCCAATAAGCACTTATAATTTACATTATTTACATTCAGACTAATATCCTCATCTTTGTTGTTGTTATCACAATATTTCGACTGTTGTGTCATCCAGCCTTCTTCAGGTGTCAGTTGATTTGGATAACCTTCGGGAAATTTCAAACTAAAATTATAAATGCTAAATAAACACTTGGATTTCATGGCATAGTAATTGTGAGTTCAGTCCCTGGGCTGGATAGTACAGACTCAGACTCTAGCAACAGAACTAGCAATCACTGAGCAGTATTAAGACAGACAGACAGAGACAATATCCCTAGACAAGAACAGTGGAATGTGAACAATCTACTCACAAATATTAAATTAATGGTTCAGTTCTAAATTCTCGGAAGCCTAATCGATTAAAGCATTGTTTATTGAATTTAGTGGCCTAGTAATCAGGAGTTCAATCCTTACTACAGACTCAGTCTACATGGAAACAAGGCAAGCAATCACTGAACAGTACTAAAAAGAAGAAGATATCTCTAGTCATGAACAGCAGACAGAGGACACTTTACCCAGATGAATGAAATAAAGCATTCTGTTCAAAATTCCATAAAAGTTATCAGGATTGATAGACACCTGAAGAAGACAAAACATTGTGATAATAACAACAATAACAACGAACATCATCATCCTAACAACAAAAATGAGGACAAAAGCCCAAATGTAAATAATCAGATCCTCAAATTGATGACCATAATTTTAAAAAGAGTTAATTGAATATTAAATTGTATGATATCCCCAAAAAATTCAGAGAATAGTCAAAAAAGTTAAATGAATATTAAATTGTATGATATCCAAAAAAAATAAATAAATAAATAAAATAAAACCAGAGAATAAAGATGCTTATTCAGTACTTACTCATACTTAGCCACACAATCAAATGCTCCACGGTAGAGAAGGTTCTGGTGAGTAACCTCAGTCTCTAATGCACATACATTAGTAATGTGTGGCATCAAAGATTTCAAACTCTTCCAATGACCTTCATTAGCAAAATGGAGGTCACTTTCCTCCAAATCTTCATCTGAAAGAATCCTCTGAATATACAAATGAAAGTTGCTACCATTTTTTTTAAGTTCTGAAATTAAAAAAAAAAAATTTAAATAAAGGACATCAACAAAATATTTATTTGCATTTATAATGGTGGCTGTTGACCAAATTGTTAAAGCATCATCAATATATCAAATATTAATTAAGCTAATGATGGCTGACACACAAAATGTTCTCCATTTTGAATTTTGTGAAAAATGATCAAATATGGCCAACTTTAAAGGAAGCTTCTTTGACATTTGTATTTTAGATTTAACAAATTCATCAAGCAAAAAAAGATGTGCAATGTGGTGTAATGAATAACGGCTCAGAATGAGAAATTAGAGTCAACTTCGAATTTCAGTCAGGTTTGTTTCATTCACTTATGCACAAATACCCTTGAGAAAGGTATGAATCCATCTCTTCTCCCCCAGCTATGGGGTGAATAGCAGGACAGACTGGATTCTATAGCCTTGGTTTGCAACCAATCTACTGCAGAAAGAAATGGCAACCTACTGCACAAAAATCTTCTGCCTAATCAGTCATGAATTGAAAGAGACATGATCGCCCAAGCGTGTATCACGTATGGCACTTAACTAACTAATCAAGCAATATAAAAATAAAATTCTGAAAAATTAAGTCTCAGTGATGAAAACTAAGTTTTAATATAAAAATAAATTATTATTATATTCAGTTGATGTAAAAATTCAAAATACCATATTTTACACAATGTTAGAGAAATCTGAGAAGTGCCAGTGAAGATTACTTAGCTCTTAGAAGGTTGTTAGGAAAGTTGGTTCACTACATTTTGCTAGACAATTTTTCTTAAATCGATCCTACATATTTATAAGTCTACAATTCATCCTTGCTTTGAATATTTCTGTCACATCTGGTCTGGTGCTTCTGCTATATATTTAGAGATTCTTGATAAAATCCAAAGAAGAATCTGCAGTGTTATTGCATTTTATCTTCATGACAAGGTTTCATCATTTTACAGCTAAAATAGCTAGATGCAACCATAAGTTCTATGCTAACAATTTCTTCTCTCACACTTCTCGCATGTGGTAATCTCTTCTGGCTTCTTGCTTCCCAATCAGCTTTGATCTTGAAAAAAATTTTTATCTGCATATACTCTCTCAGTAACCCATTACATCTTATTGGCTTTATTGCCTTTCTTGGGGTGAAATGATTAAAAAAAAAGTATAGAAATTTTATTCTCTTCAAATAACATGCTTTCAAATAGAACAGAGTATTTTTCTGCTAAATACTAGCATACATTTTGTGTCTACTACTACACCTGTGTGCCAGGTATAAATAAAAGGACAACGAATCATGTAGTCCATCTGTGTGGAGTCAAGTTACAGCTGGATGTAACAGTACAAGTTGAAGTTAGTCAGAAATTTTTCTGTTTCTAGTTTATTTCCTGTCATACAAAAACTGTCTTCATAAGAAGAAACTGAATTATGACCATATCCAAACATGGAAAATGCTATGAAAGTAAACCCAGACAGAAAATACAGACATCTAAAGGTGGTTAGCTGTCAACTCCAACAAACTTTCAATAACTCCTACAAGCCAACCCCAAATGTAATGTCCTGTATTCTTTTGGATTTTAACAGTACAGCTGAGAGAGTGGGTACAGGTGGTCTGGGCAGTGTATAGCCTCCATATACCCTTACCCAGGCCTGCACCCAGGAGAGAGGTCATTCCAGTCTCACCACCAAAGGACTGAATTTTGATCAAACAGAATGCTACCATTATCATGCAAGATAAACAGATGCTTACTAATACTTCACAGGGGAATCTATAGTGTTAATAACATTCATTTTCTAGTTGCTTCAGGTTAAAGCAACAATCAGTTGGTCAACAAGTCATTAAATGCTGCTCATTACTGCAAATCATAAAATCAACCAAGATTTATATGGATTAAAAGAAGAATGAACAAAAGGAGGAAGGAAGGGGGTCATTAGTTTCTAACAGTGAAAATATCAATTACAAAGAAGCTAGTCTAAATTATGATTCAAACAGTTCCACCAGTTCAGACCTTTACAGATAGGACACAGTCAAATCACCATCATTTACTCCATATTCCAAATGTAATATAGTTCCACTCAGTTTTTTCCTCAAAAACTACTAATTTGTGAAACAGGTTCCCACTTGGGTGCTTCCCTGAATACAAACAATGTTAACCTCTTCAAGTGTTAACTATTATCTAAAAGCAACTAGACATTAATAAAAATAACTAGAATCTCAAACCCTTTATTCTTGAATGCATATAAAAATGAAATACGTGACAGTTGCACATTTTTTACATGACTTCCTGAGTTTTGTTTTATTGCCATATCAAATAAACAGTATATTTATTTATTTATTTTCATCTACCAATCTGAATAATTAAGAAATCTTAGAGAAAAATAGGTGCCCTCCGACAGGATTCAAATTTGCATTACGTAAGGGGAAACAGTCATTAGATCTGACATGCTTTGACCTCTCAGCTACAGAGTGCATCGGTGACTAAGCAAAGTTGAATAGTGCTTTTGAATACAATTATCCACTTAAAAAAACATTTAAGTAATAATAATTTGTCAGATTAATAAATAAAAATTCATCCCCTTTTCCAAAAATTGCTTTGTTTATGAGCAGATATGTCTATTTCAAGAGTCAGAGAAAAATCTGTGTTTAAAGGCACTATTCAATATATGTATGTGTGTGTGTGTGTGTGTGTGTGTGTGTGTGTGTGTGTGTGTGTGTGTATAAATAGTGGAGCAATGGATAAGCATCCCAGATTGAGGAACCAGAGAGGCATGTTCAAATTACAGTCAAGTTCATTACATTCACTTACATGCTGATACCCTTGGGAAAGGTGTAAATCAATCTATAGGGCCTATCACCTTGGCTGGCGAATGCAGTGGGAGGACAACTCTGAATTCAAAACCTGTAAAGGGTTATTTGTGGACCT